AAAATGCAGGTCGCTGTTCAGAATCCTCCCTTGAGTCAGATGCCAGGTGGGATTCCTGCAGCTCCCGGTGGTGGCAGAACCCAGCGTTCGGAGGGAACAGGCACTTTGACTGTGGGAGCCGGGTCTGGCCATTTTGGAGAGCGGTCCGGCCCCAGCCACAGTGTCCAGCTGCAGCACGGTGAGGGCGGCGCTGCCTATCCTTTACCGAGCAAGATAAAGACTGCAGAGAGGCTTCTGTCTCATGCCTCTGTAGCCGTGGATGTAGCTCCTCTCAACCAGGGCGGGCTGGTGAGCTGCAGCGACATGCGACACCCGGCTTCCCTCGCCAGCTCAGGCTCTTCTGGTTCTCCGTCTGGCAGTATCAAGATGTCAAGTTCAACCAGTAGTTTGACTTCAAGCAGCAGTTTTTCAGATGGCTTCAAGGTGCAAGGACCGGATGCCCGAGTTAAAGACAAAGTCGTTAGCCAGGGTCAGAGTGGGACAGCTGAGCACAGACCGCGCAATACTCCGTTCATGGGCATCATGGATAAGACTGCAAGGTTCCAGCAGCAGAGCAATCCTCCAAACCGTACCTGGCACTGTCAGGTGCCGGAGGGGCTACTGATGAACACGTCCTCTGCAGCCGGCCTGCAGTCCTTGAACTCTGAGAAGCCCTCTCTGAAACAAGCAGGAGGATATGGTAGCCAAGCTAAAACCTGTGCTGTTTCTACCCTGGGTGGAAGTGTCCACAGTGGGTCACAGGTGAAGGAGCTAGAAGAAAAGAAATGCCAAATTCCGGTCCACTGTCAAGATAGCAGGATCACTAAGACTGTTTCTCATCTATATCAGGAAAGTATCTCTAAACAGCAGCCTCATGTCAGTAATGAAGCCCATAGGAGTCACCTCCCTTCAGCAAAACCAAAGCGATCATTCATAGAGTCAAATGTGTGAGCCTTAAGAGAGATGCATATGTGGAACTGGGGAAACTGTGTGCTAGCTCCTAGTGGTGATTCAAAGGTTTTTCGTGAGAAAAAATTATAGCGTATTTTTTTTTCTTTTTTCCTTGGAGGTGGGTCAGATGCCATTGATATATTTAAAATGTGGGATCAAATGTTTTTGATAGGAGAGCTAGGAGTCACCATAAATAAGAATGCTAACCAGAATGAAAATTTATAATTAGTTATACCTATTATGTTAGAAAATTTAAGACCACCAAGATGTTAACTCATGGTTTTCTCTTATGAAATTGTTTGGTTTTTACCATTTTTCTCCTAGCCTTTACTATGTGGTGAAATCATAATATTTCTTAGAAAATGTAAATGTCTAAGTGATAGGTTTAACTTATGACAAAATATCCAGATGACATATTCTGGAAAAGATGGAATTTTCAAGTTCAGTTTCATTGAGTCAAATCCCAGTTTTTACATATAAATATATAAAAATTTCTGGCTGAACATAATTGTGACTATAAATGTTCCTACAGCTTATTCTTTTTGCTTTTTTTTTTAAAGCAAATACAAAAATATCCAAGTATTGTTTCCTTCATAGTAGTTCCCTTTTATTTCCATGTTACAGTTCTCATTAAAAACATTTTTATAGCACCGTTTTTGGAATTATGTTCCACTTCAAGGTGTTTTTAATATTTGGAAAGAGTATAAAACCATGTGGAATCATGATTGGTGGTCAAGTTGGATTTGGGCTAAACTACTAAGAAAACAGCATTCTTTATGATACGTAAATTAGCTCTCAGCTGGTTCCCAAACTGCTTTTAACAGTGACCGCATTCCTGGAGCAAGCCTTCCAGGGTCCTTTAAGGACAGTATTTAATTTGGATAGTTAAGGTATGGTTGGTTGTTGCTTTTGTTTCATTATACAATCATTACTTTATAGTAACATGTTGTACATATTAACTAGCCAAGTTGTATTCAGACTTGTAAATATAACTATTTCAAGTAGTTAATCATAAAAAAAAAACTCATATATTTGCATGTTCTTTGTAAGCTTCATTCATGCTGGTTATTGCACTGAACGATATATTACTATGGCATGTTAACTGTATACCAGTAACAGCACTTTATCTCATTTATAGGAGCACCTTTGAGGTGCTACTTAAGGCCTAACTTATGTATTATTCATTTGTAAAGATAAGGTACAGGAATGAACCTTGGTTTAAAGGTATTTTTATATGAAAATGATGTGCTATTGGAGGATGGTAAAATGCTAATTTGAGAGAGGTAGGAGAATAGTTGTTTTATATGTTGGGATGTGAAATTTATTTTCTAGAATTGGGGAGAAGTAAGTTCTATATTTACAGAATGTTTTAAAAATGAATCGTTGTAACGAAGTTCCTCTTGAGCATCATTATGGTTTTGTACGAACAGGAAATCTGGTATCATTATTCAACATTTGTGCTGGAGTGTGTACAGTGTACTTTGTACAGCTTTATCATTTTTCTAGGCTTTCCCTGAGTTCTGCTAGAAGTACTATGGCTTATTTATTTTTTGTTGTTTTCTTTAATATTTGTGAAAGTCTTACTCTTGTTATGTAGTTTTGTTTCTGCACAACTACTGTACTTTTCCATATGGAATAAAGAGTGTTAATAGAATTTGTTTTGTATTAAATGAGAGTGGGTAAGTAGACTATCCTGATGACGACTCTCCACCTTAGTTTAATCCTGGGTGATCTTACTGCCCTCAAGAAAAAAGTAAAAAGTCTATTTTTATAGTAATACTACCACATGCATATTAAATTTCACTTAATAATAATTTCAGAACAAGGGTGACAGAAATCCCAGAATATTCCGTGGTTAACATGAATCTTTTTGCCTGAAATAGGATGCAGAGCATTCTGTAATTGTCTGTTCCAGAAATCTTGGTGTCTGTTTTTGTAGGCAACAGGATACCTTTTAGTATGTCACTCTCAGACACTTGGGTCAGACACCAAACACTGTGTTGATGATGAAAGTTCTTCACATTTGTATCATCGTTCAGTTAGAAGTAATGCGTTCCCCTTTATACCCACATAGTTGTGTATCAGGGTAGGATGAATGAAAGGGAACATTAAACTGCGTTGTACTGGGATAAAACCCTAATGTGGAATCCTGCTACTACTTCAGGTACTGTCTGGGTGCAGTGGTTACTAGCAAGGCTCAGTATCTGCAGTCCTTCTTTAAAACTATAGATTTAGAGATTCAAAAACAAAAAGAAAACAGGTGGGAGGGAGTAACGTTGTTGGCTAATAGATAATTGTTGGATGACTTTTGTTACAAAGCTGCCGATGGGACTCCTGGAATTTATTATAGATTATGTTATGCTTTTGAAATAGTCTTAGTGAAGATATTGGGTCCAGTTACACCAAAAAGAAGTGAAGCTCTTGGTCAGTCCTGAGGGCCAGTAAGCACTGCTGCCACGTAGACCTGAGTGAACAGTTGGGCCTGGGGAGTGTAGCAGAGACCTTGTGGTGTCCCTTCCTGCGGATGGTTTTGGATTTGGTGTGTTTGTGTGGGAGTGGGGAGGAGGCGCTGTCTGGCTTTGGTTTATTTGCGTACATGACCAGAAGTATTTCACTTTAGTTATATTACTGGTAGCTTAGTTTTCAGCCACAGGAAACCATGATGGTGAAATGTAGAAAAGAAAATCATCTTTAACATATTTAAGAGATAACCAGTCTTTTATTGTGTTTTCTATCAATGACATCAATAGTTTTTAGTAATTTTTATGTAAAAAAGCCTGTCTGCCTCCGTTGGAAAATAAGTCTATCAAAACAAATATTTGGCCCAATGGTGGGCTCTATTAATTAAAAAAAAATCTTTCGTTAAAATTATGTTAACATACTTTCCCTATAGAATACAATAGAAAAATACCTAAAATCTGTTATTCCCAACCTTTTTTTTTTTTTGTCCTCACTTGAATGTAAGAAGCATGGTTGTATGAAAAAATCTAGAATCAGAGATTATAAATCGCAGCTATGACACAAAGGAAATAAAATTCAGTAATACATTCGGATGACAGAAATTTTACAAAGCAGTAACTGAAAGATATTGGGAAAGTTTTGTGGTCGCTAAGCTTTCCACATGTCTGTAAATGTGTAGCATGTTAGCTGTAAATTTATATACGAAAAGACTATATACATAATTACATCATTCTTCTCTCATTTCTGACTTTTAAAATTTTAGAACAGCTAAAATGAGGGTTTGGGGCAAACACAGAGCCTTGGTCCCTGCCTTGGTTCCAGCTGAGTTCTGACCAGCCTTCCCACTAATGGCTTCCATTCTGGGAAACCACTTACGGCAGGTATGTGAAGTCAGTACCACCTCAGCTCCATGAACTGGAAGTTTTCTTCTCCGTGAACGCTTATTGGGATGTTGTATTAAATATCAGTCGATTGTGCAAAAATGTTGTAGTTAAAATGTTATAGTTACCCTAGCTTAGATATATGAGAACTTTAAGGATTCTGAACTCTAAAAGGAGGCTGCTTTGGTACTTTATTTCAACAAAGTCAACTTGACATATTCATGATAATTTATCCTAACTTGTATACGCAGGTTTGGACTGGGGACAAATCACCACCTTGCAAGTTTAGAATCCAATGAAATTGCTCATTAAACATGTCAAAGTGATTTTCTCAGTTTAGTCATAAATCTATAGTTATTTTGCCACAAATTCTCTCTAGGAGGATTCCAAAGAGCTGTCAACTCTTGGCTTTTAACTAGGATTTAAATGTTATATTCTAGATTATTCTGATCTTTGGTTTTAATTAGATTATGACCTACATCTAGCAAGATAAATTCTGAGTATTGCAATTTTAAGTCAAAGTGAAACTTTATTTCTCTACAGATTAAAATTTCTTTCAGTAGTACAAAAAAGGCTTTTATAGTAAGATGTCAGGTATGTAATTAGTCCATATGATTCAAAGAATAGTTTTTACAGGTAACTAAATTCACTTTTCTCCTGTTTTGCTTTTAATAATATCTGATTAGTATTTACCTTGAAATCATTCAAATGAGATCACTGAAAAATAGATACAATATAAACAATTTTATTTTTGATGTGTCTCCAGCCATCGGCTAATGGCCATTTTCAGAGTCCTGTTTGGTGTAAGTACCACTGAAGAAAGAACTAGATTTGTCATGGGACTTGTACGTTTCTTTTTGCTGATCCAGTTTTCCATTGCTTCCTTTTCATATGAATAGCCGTCTGAAATAAATCAAAACACAAATTATTTGCAATTTTGGGGGGCTGGGATTACTACAGTGAGTTGGGTATACCAGCTCTACCACCAAGGCTTTTATTGGGAGTTAAGTGGTAGTCTTATATCACCACTCCTAAAATACTTCTGCCACAACACCCTAAATATTCCCGATAAGATGCATTGAGATTGTACAAATTACCCTGAACAGTGTCAATATTTTACGGATAATTTTGAACACAAAAAGTCTTTAAAAAAAAAAAAAAAGACCCTATATCCAAAACTCAGATATAGTAGAAAGGAAGAAAGGAAAAGAGCCAGGGAGAGGTGAGTGGTATTGAAGATAAACTGCCTCATTAGAGCTGTTGGTGATGTGTGAAAATTAATATGGCTAAAGAGAAGAGTCTTAGGAGTAACTCAGCAAAACTTTCTGACATACTGAAAACTCAGGGAACCAGATACCAAGAGATTATAAAACTCACCCCACTAAAGGCTTGACAGTAAAGGGATTTATGACCCCCCCCCCCAAAAAAAAGCCCAAAAAACCCCACTGGCTAATCCATGTGGTTAATACCACATTTGTGCAGAATTCTTTATATGTATAGCAAAGGCAAAGATTGGAGTTTTTGCTTTACTCTTTTTATATACTTTTAGCTCTTTCACATCTTTCACAAACTGAAAATCTTCATTCCTAATTATATTTACACATTTATTTGCTTTAATTTATGATGCATACAACAGTTTCAAACTAACAATGCCAATATATTACTAACATATGACTGAAATAAATTGAAGATTTCTTTCTGGCTCTTTTGTGTCACCAAGAATAGGTCCACCAGGGCTTCTAACAGAAATACTGTATTTGAAAATCACTGGGGGGGGGGGGGGGAATTCTTCCATTTCATTATGTCACCAACTTGATATACAACTATCTTCATTTGCTTCCTTTTTTAATCCTCTCACTTTTTAGGTTGGTTTGTCTTTCATGACTTAACTTTGTTAAAACATTTAAATGATTTCCAAGTAAAAACTATAAAACAAGGTACATTCAGAGGAGTCTATTCAATCTCTGTCCAACAACTGTTCCCTGCCTTCCCATACAGGTAACCATGTACACTTTTATCCTTTTGTTTCTTAAAAATATAAGCAACTGGATGTGTACACATACAATACATACACATTCTTACATGAGAGCATACTGTACACTTTGTGCCTGCTTTATTTTTACTTAGCTATAACTTGCCTTTTTATTCCTCCCCTCCCCCCACAGTAGTCCACTGTATGGGTGGACTGTATGGAAGCACTGATAGACATCTTGGTTGTTTCCAATCTTTGCCTCGTACAAATAGTGTTGTCATGGACAGTCTTGTTTTTGGAGAGATTCCAGAAGTAGGACTGCTGCATTAAAGAGTATGTATAATTTCACTGGATATGCCAGTACTTCCATAGGAATTCTACCATTTTTGCTTCCTACCAGCAACGTTAATGACAATGCTTTTTTCCTCCCAAGAGCTTCACCAAGAGAATATGTTGTCAAATTGGATTTCTACCAGTTTCATGAATACTGCTATAGTAGCTCAGGTAGCTTTACTTTGAGGGAGATAGAACTCTTTTTTTGTTAATTTAATGGCTGTTTGCTTTTCTTTTTTCTGTGAACTGTTAATATTTTTGTTTTTTGGCCCATTTTTCCATTAGGTTGCCCTTAGGAAGACTTCTTGCTTTTTAAACACTAAGATATAATTGACATTAGTTTCAGAAGCACAGCATAATTCTTCACTATATTATGAAATGATCACTATGGGTCTATAAACATCTATCATGATGTATAATTAAAATTTTTTCCTTTTTCTTGTGATGGAAGATTTTTAAGATTTCTGTTAGGGGTACAGGGGAGAGGAAAGTATAGGCTTCCTTTTAAGGAATAAATAAGTCATGGGGATGAAAGGCACAGAACAGGGACTACAGTATATACATAACATATATAAGTATATATACTATATACTAAGTGTGTTATATATACTATATAAGCGTATTATATACACTACATATTTTATATAGTACATATTATATATGTGGTATATATATTGTATATATTATATATAGTACTATATATAGTATATATACACAATATATACATTTGTGGTGAGCATAGCATAATGAATGCATGCAGTTGCTGAAATCACAATGCCTGACAAACTGTCAACCAGACTTCAATTTTAAAAAAACTTAGCAACTTTCTAATATACAATAGTAATACAACAGTATTATTAACTACAGTCACCATGCTGTACATTATATCCCTAGGACTGCTAATGTTATAACTAGAAGTTTGGGTCTTTTGACTACCTTCACACCTTAGTGGTTGTCAGAGGTGGAGGGGGATGGACTAATTTGTTCACATCCACAAATTCAGTGCTTTGTCTTAGATTCCACGTGTAAAAGAGATCAGTGGGTCTCTTTCTCTGACTTCTTTTACTTAGCACAATGCCCTCAAGGTCTATCCATGATGGCACAATGTCAGGATTTCCTTTTTTTTTTTTTTTTTTTATGGCTGAGTTATATTCCACTGTGTACACATACATTTTCCTCATTCACCCACTGATGGACAGAAGTGGAATTGCTGTATCACAAGGTAGTTCTATTTTTTATTTTTTTTGAGGGGTGTGGGGATCTCCATATTGTTTTTCACAGTGGCTGCACCAACTTACATTCCTACAAAACCGTGCATAAGAGTTCCCTTTTCTCCATATAATTACCAACACAGTTTTGAAAAATAAACATTTCTAACAAGTGAGGTGACCTCTCATTGTGGTTTTGTAGTTCCTTGATGATTAGTAATGTTGAGCCCCTTTTCATGTACTTGCTGACCATTTCAAGGTTATCTTTGGGAAAATGTGCATTTAGATACTCTGCTCATCTTTTTTTTTTTGTGCTATTGAGTTATAGGAGTTGTGTATTTTGGATATTAATCCTTATCAGATACGTGATTTGCAAGTACTTTCTCCCATGTTGTAGGCTGCCTTTTCACTTTGCTATTGGTTTCTTTTGCTGTGCAGAAGCATTTTAGTTTGATGTAGTCCCACTTACTTTTGCTTTTGTTACCTTTGCTTTCAAGATATTAAGGAGTTTACCACCTGTTTCTTCTGGGAGTTTTCTGCCTTGATGTCTTACATTGTCTTTAATCCATTCAGAGCTAAGTTCTGTATATGGTGTAAGGCAGTGGTTCCATTTCATTGTTTTGCACATGGCTAATGATTCCTAGCACCATTTATTGAAGAGATCATCCTTTCCCTATTGTATACTCCTGGTTCCTTTGTTGTAGATTAATGATCACATATGTGTGGATTTATTTCTGGGCTCTCTAGTCTGTTATAGGTCTGTTGTTATGCCAATACCATACTGTTTTGATACTATATATAGCTTTGTAATGTAGTCTGAAATCAGGAATTATTATGCCTCCAGCTTTTTCATTAAGATTGCTTTGGACATGTGCTTCGATACAAATTTTAGGATTGTTTGCTCTATTTTTGTGAAAATTGCCATTGAAATTTTGATAGAGATTACACTAAATCTAGATTGCTTTGGGTAGTATAGGGATTTTAACAATATTCTTTCAATCCATGCCTTTCCATTTATGTATTCTTCACTTTCTTTTCTCAATATATTATAGTTTTCAGTCACAGGGTTTTTTTTTTTTTTTACCTCCTTTGTTAAATTTATTCCTACGCATCTTTTTTTATTCATTTGTAAATGGGAGTATTAATTTCTCTGACAGCTTGTTACTAGTATACAGAATTGCAACAAAGTTCTGTGTATTAATTTTGTATCCTGAAACTTTCCTGAATTTGTTGATTAGTTCTAATGTTGTGTGTGTCTGTGTGTGTGTATGTGTATGAGTGGAGTCTTTATAGTTCTCCATATATAAAAACGTGTCATCTGCAGAGATAGTTTTACGTCTTCCTTTCTAATTTGGATGTCTTGTCTTTTTGCTTTGCTTCACCTAACTGCTCTAGCTATGACCTCCAATACTATGTTGGCTAAAAGTAATGAGACTAGGCTCTCTTATCTTATTCCTAATTTTAGTGAAAAAGATTTCAACTTTTCACTGCTGACACTGATGTTCACTCTGAGCTTGTTCTATATGGCCTTTATTATGCTGAAGTATGTTCCTTCTATACTCATTTTGTTGAGTGCTTTTATCATAAATGAATGTTGAATTTTGTCAAGGCTTTTTCATCATCAATTCAAGATTTTTATTCTTCATTTTGTCAATGTGATGTATGATTGTGATTTACAGAGGATGAACCATCCTTGCATCCTTGGAATAAATCCCATTTGATCATGGTGTATAATCCTTTTAATGTATTGATTTGGCTTGCTAAAATTGAGGAATTTTACATCTGTGTTCATCAGGGCTATTGGTCTGTAATTTTCTTGTAGTATCCTTGTCTGGTTTTGTTATCAGGGTAATGCTGCCCTTATAAAATGAGTTTGGAAGTTTGAGAAGGATTGGTAGTCCATGAATATTTTTTGTGTCTTTGGAATATTAGCACTCCATCAGTTTTTCAGAGATTTCTCTTGGATTTTGAGTCCAGATTAGGAAATGTCTCTATTTCCAGATTTTGAAGGAATTTATCTGCATTTTCTTCTGAGACTTACTTCTCTCTAATCCATTTAAAATTTAGATACACAGTATAAGAGATAAAGCCAGTTTTACCCTTTTCCATGTGGTTATTATATTTTAAGAATACTACTTGTTTAAATTATTTATTACCACTGACTTAACATATGCCATTTTTATCATTCACTAAATTTCCAAATACTCTTATATCAATTCCTGAATTTAAAAAAAGTATTCCCATTCTGTTTATTCATGTGCCAATCTCATACTGTTATATAGTCTTAAAACATTTTGAAATATTTGCTAGAACTAAGTGATACTCCTCTTTTATTTTCTAGATTATTTGTTGTATGGTCTTTCCAATGGAGCCTATCATCATCTTCTGTA